TATATGAAAGATGCAATATAGGCAAGAATGTAAAGTTTATGACTGGTTGGTTACCAGAAGACTTCTGATTAGGATGATGCTGAGTTTTGGAAACAGATAATGGTGATTGATGAAAAGCATGATAAGCATAACGAATGTCACAGAATTAGCTACATTAAGAAGGAGACTGTGTGTGTGTGCATGCACATGTGGGTGTAGGCATAAAAACTAAATAAACATTTCACCAAAGATAATAGACAAATGATTAACACGCATATGAAAGGACACTCAACATCATTAATAATTAAGGAAATACAAATCAAAGCCACAACAATAAATGTTGGTGAGAATGTAGAGAGATTGAAGTTCTCATAGATGGCTGGTGGGAATATAAAATGGTGCTGCTGATATAGAAAACAGGGCAACAATTCTTCAAAGTCAAATATAGAATTAGGTAGGGCTTAGCAAATTTTTTAAATCATTTTCTTTGGGGCTCGTATGACTCATCACGATCCATCCATCCATCCATCGTGTCAAGCTTTCTACTTGAGCCCTTGGTATCAGCTCATTTTCCCCCTCCCTCCCTGCTGCCCCCTCCCTCATGGGCCCTTGATAATTTATAAATTATTATTTTGTCATTTCTTATACTGTCTGACGTCTCCCCTTACCCACTTTTCTGGTGTCCATCCCCCAAGGAGGAGGTTTTATGTAGATCCTTGAAATCAGTTCCTCCTTTCCACTACACCCTCCCGGTATCATACTCTCAGCACTGGTCCTTCTTCCTGAAGGAATCATCTGTCCTGGATTCCCTGTGTTTCCAGTTCCTATCTATATCAGTGTACGTCCTCTGGTCTAGCCAGATTTGTAAGGTAGAATTTGGATCATGATAGTGGAGGTATGAGGGGGAGCATTTAGGAACTACATGAAAATTGTTATGTTTCATCATTGCTACATTGCACCCTGACTGGCTCATCTTTTCCCTGCGATCCTTCTGTTAAGGGGATTCCAGTTGCCTATAAATGGCTCTTGGGTCTCCAATCTGCACTAGCCCTCATTCACAATGATTTAAATTTTTGTTCTTTGATGCCTGATACCTGATCCCTTCGACACCTCGTGATCACACAGGCTGGTGTGATTCTTCCATGTGGGCTCTGTTGCTTCTGAGCTAGATGGCTGCTTGTTTACCTTCAAGCCCTTAAGACCCCAGACGCTATATCTTTTGATAGCCGGGCACCATCAGCTTTCTTCACCACATCTGCTTATGCCCCCACTTTGTCTTCAGTGATGTCGGAAAGGTGAGCATCATGAAATGCCAGTTTAATAGAACAAAGAATTCTTGCACTGAGGGAGTAATTTGGAAGCCCAATAGGACCTAGCAATCCTACTGCTATACACACACACACACACACACACACACACACACACACACGGGGGTACCCAAAAAATTCTGTAATTTTGTTTTTCAAAGCTATATATTTAAATTTTTCTCTACAAAACAACCTTATCACCTTCAAAGTACTCTCCATTACACTTAATATATTTGTAAAATCTGCGATTCTACTCTTGGAAACACTTTTCAAACTCATCTGTTTGAATGGCTGACAGCACCCCTCACGTTTTTTCTTCACCTCTTCTAAGTCATCAAATTGTTGTCTTTTCATGACCCTCTTCATTCACAGAAACAAAAAAAAGTTGCAGGGGCTGAGGTCAGGTGAGGAAGGAAGGTGCTTGGGGCAAAAGAGGCATGCTGTTTTTTGCCAAAACTGGTACACTGAGATGGCTGCGTAAGCAGGTGCATTTTGATGGCAAAACCAGTCCCCCATCTGCCACAAATCAGGCCTTTTTTTGTCAAATACTGTTATGTAATCTTTTCAGAACCTCTAAATCAGTGGTTCTCAACCTTCCTAATGCCGTGACCCTATAATACAGTTCCTCATGTTGTGGTGACACCCAACCATAAAATTATTTTCGTTGCTACTTCATAACTATAATTTTGCAACTGTTATGAATCGAGCAACCCCTGTGAAAAGGTCGTTTGACCCCCAACGGAGTTGCGATCCACAGGTTGAGAACTGCTGCTCCTTGATTAATTGTCTGAACTGATAGAATAAACTCCAAATGCACTATGAATTGACATTTTCGTCCAATTGGGAAGTTGACAGAAGTCCAAAAAGAGAATTTGTCATTAATCGACATCTCACCATTTTTGAAATAAGAAAGCCACTCAAACACTTAATTGTCCCATAGCGCTGTCCTTGTGAGCTATGTTCAACATCACAACAGTTTCTGTGGCATTTTTCCAGAGCATGAAAGAAAATTTCACAGCCGCAAGCTGTTCTCTTATACTGGCCATCACAAAAAACTAGGTTTGAGCAAAACTGCTTTTACGAAAAAATTCACTGTGACTAGAGAAAACCTTCCCAGGTGATGCCACTGGGTGCACTAACTCTGAGCAAGTTGTTTGATGCTTGCCTAGGGGCTAAAATATGTACAACGTACGAAAGCTCTGCCCAGTGGAGCTTTTGTGATTTTTTTTTAGGGGGATGGTATTCCCTCATACTTGAGAAATGAAAATAAATGTCTACACAAAGACTGATACACAATGTTCATAGCACAACTTTATAACAGCTATAAAGTAAACAATTCAAATGCCCATCAACAGATAAAGAAAATGTGCTAAATCCATACAGTGGAATATTACTACTAAGCAAAGCTGATAAATGATAATACACGGATAATACTTGAAAACACTACTCTAAAATGTGACAAAAGCCAACACAAAAAGCACATACTGCATGATTACATATATGTGAAATATCCAGAAGAGGGAAATTCATTAAGATAGAAAGTAAAGTAATGGTAGGCAGGGACCACTGGGTGATTGGCTGCTTAAGGTTTATGGGATTCCTTTTGAGTGATCAGAAAGCTCTGAAACTAGGTATTGACAATGGCTGTCCAACACTGTGAATGTACTAAATGTCAATAATGGTAAGTTTTATAATGTGTGTATTTATTTATTTTTAAAGGAAGTGTTTTTATACTTGCTACAACATAAGTGAACTCTGAAAATGTGCTAAGTACAAGAAGGCCACATATTGTACAATTCCAATTATAGGAAATATCCACAGTAAACAAACTCATGTGGCTAGAAAATACTCATGGTTTCCAAAGGTTCAAGTAGGGTGGAATAACCCACAAAGGGTAGGGGGGTTTTTTGTGGAGTGAGGAAATGTTCTGAAATTTGATAGTGTCAAACTTGTGAATCTACCATAAAAAGAGCTTTATGATTAAACAAGCAGCATCTAGCAGGAAAGCAGGAAAGCCCATGTGGAAGAAGCACACCAGCCTGTGTGATCATGAGGTGTCGATGGGATCAGGTATCAGGCATCAGAAGATCCAAAACAAATAATCATATCAATGCAAACGAGGGAGACCAGAGTAGAGACCCAAAACCTATCTGTAGACAATTGGACATCCCCTTACAGAAGGGCCACAATGAAAGGATGAGTCAGCCAGGGTGAGGCATAGCACTGACAAAACACACAACATTCCTCTAGTTCTTTAATGCTCCCCCCGCCCCCCATGATGACCCCAGGTCTATTTTAAAAATCCGGCTATACCAAAGCATGTACATTGGTGCAGGTAAGAGCTTTCAACATTCAGAATCCAGACAGAAAACCCCCCAGGAACAGTAATGGGAGTGTAGTGAAACCATGAGGTTGGGAGGAAGGTGGGGGGAGACACGGGAACGGATAGCAATGATGGACATATTAACTATACCCCTAAGGGGGAAGAATGACAGAAACATGGTTAAGGGAGACAATGGACGGTATAAGATATGAAAATAATAATTATAAATTATCAAGGATTCATGAAGGGGGGATAGAGAGAAGCTGGTGATACCAAGGGCTCAAGTAGAAAGAAATGTTTTGAAAATGATGTACAAATGTGCCTGATACAATTGATATATGGACTGCTATAAGAGCCCCCAATAAAATGATTTTCATATTAAAAAAAGTTTTATGGAATGTGGATTATATCCATTTTTTTCTTATAAAAATCATTTTATTGGGGGCTCGTACAACTCTTATCATAATCCATCCATCCATCCATTGTGTCAAGCACATTTGTACATTTGTTGCCATCATCATTCTCAAAATATTTTCTTTCTCCTTGAGCCCTTGGGGATTATACCAATTTTTAAAAGTGAGCTATAATCATAACCGCAGCATGAAAGAAGCTTCCTAAATCATCTCATCACAACTCACACATCTTACAAAACATGAATATCAAAAAGGTAAATGAGATTACCCAAAATTTTAAATTTAATTATGACAGGGTTTTGGGTCCTGTAACAAGTACCTTTAGTTTCTCCTGATGACAAGTTAAGTTTAACCTTAAAGATAACTTAGACACTTCCCATACTGACAGTAAAGGGTTTGGGTTATTTTACCTTTTAAGTAAGAGAAAGAAAAAAAAAAAACCCTAACTTGCTTTGCTATACCATGTGAGATCAAGCAAAAGGGAATTTCTTAGATCTTATGTATACCTTTCTTCATGTGATTAGACTTCATGTAAAGATGAAATGAGAGAAATCCAAAAAAGCTCTGAGCAGAGCAATAGGTTAAAAATGAAACTAATACTCCTTAACTCTAATTTTGCCTTAGGACTCTATTTCTTTTTTTTTTTAATCATTTTATTGAGGGCTCATACAACTCTTATCACAATCCATACATCCATTGTATCAAGCACATTTGTTCATTGGTTGCCCTCATCATTCTCAAAACATTTGCTTTTGACTTGAGCCCTTGGTATCAGCTCATCATTTCCCCTCCCTCCCTGCCCCCCCACTCTATTTCTTAATAACATGACATTCACACTCTGATAGTAATCATAAGGATTTCAGCCATCTTTTGTAACTTTTAAGATACCACATTTAAAACATGAGTGCATTATGAAATACAGTATAACTATCAAATTTATGCTACAGTAATAGAAAGGGTTATTTTCCATATATTTACCTTGATTAAGTATTTTTCCCATCTGTCTGCTGTAACAGATTTGCCAATTTTCCTCATCAACTTTAAATGGAGCTCCACCAATTCTTTTGGTACTTAAAAGGAAGAAAAAAAAATACTGTTAACTAGCTAAGCAAACATTTATAAACATTTAAGATTAAAAAAATTTTCCCCAACCCCTGAATATATTTTACAAATAAAAGTTGCTGATTTTTGCTATTTTTATACCTCTGAATCAAAGGCTTAAACTAGAGCATGAAGTGACTAAAAACCACTTACTTAAAAATGAGCAGAGTAACAACATTCATGTTGTATTTCCAAATTCTACCAAGTAAAGCACTTACATCAACTCTACAGTTTCGAATCCATGTTTCCCATGACACATATTTTGTTCCTTCACAGATTTCAGATCAAAGTATAGATTACAAAATTCAAATAGGATTACTAATAATTTATAATTTATCAGGGAGTCACGAGGTTGGGGTGGAGGGAGGAAAAGAACAGGAGCTGATGCCAAGGGCTCAATAGAAAGTAAATGTCTAGAAAAGAACGATGGCAACATATCTACAAATATGCCTGATACAACTGATGTATGGATTGTTATAAGAGCCTCCCCCCCAAAAAAGAGCCCTCAACAAAATCTTTTAATTAAAAAAAATCAAATTGGATAAAAGAATATATATTACAAGTTGATAAGATACCTCAGAAATTGAGACTAAGTTTTCAAACTTTCAGGAAATGATTCTTCCAATATACCTTATCTGATGTGGTAAATTTCTCTATAGAATCCCTAAGGATCTTTGCTTTGATAACCTTCAGAGAATTTATCTTCCTAGTACAGATGTAAAGGGATAAAAACAAAGTGATTTTTTAAAAAAGAAAGATTCACAAAATGAAGGCTTGGGCATAAAAATAAGGTATGCTTTTCACAAGTCCCATAATGTCAAGCTAAGTTTAGACTGTATTTAAAAATGTT